GGATGCGGTAGATAACGGAGGTCTTTTGATGAGTTCGTGAGGAGTCAGCTGGAAGTTTTTACTTCTGGTTCTTCTGAAGAAGGAAAAGTCCACAGCGACTAACGTTACTTGAAGATAAAAACTGCCGGAAAAGAAAACTCAAGAGGAAGATCTTGAGAGTCTTGAAAGGTGTTGTCTCAAACGAAGAGGAGTTTCTGACCCCAGATTATTTCGGGCTAATCGCTTTTGAGAATTCCTATTCTGTGTGGACTGGCCAATACCAGACGTGAATTTTTGAGCGGGAGAAGTTCCCTTTGTTCCCTTCATGGCTCATTTGCATGTTTTATGGCCGGTCTGGAATTTCTGTAGTTTTAACCCAAAATATAGTACAAAACGTATGATGCGTTTCACAATCACATACTGTACCTCATTGTTCGAGGAATGAAAAGCAGATAATATTGATACCAAGAAACAAACATTTGGAATAGATTAAACCAAAGATACATACATACACCTGAATATCAGTGTTTTATGGCTTTAACTAATACAAATAACGAGTGGTAACTCAGCTAATCTAATAGGGAAACGTACAAACAACACATGCAATATACCAGATATATTTGTAGAGTATAATAGAGTAACGGTCTTTATGTGTGTGTGTATTTGTGTGTGTTTGTGTGTGTGTGTTAGTTTGCTTGGCCAGCCAGGCCCATCGGGGTCATTTACAGCTCTTTGGGACCGTGTTTGAAGTCAGATGGGGGAGATGATAGTGGGGGCGGGACTGGTTAGAATCTCCTTGATGGCGAAGAACCATCTGGCAATTTAAACTCCCATTAAAAGTAAAGTCTCTGACCAGAACTGTAATTTATATGCAAATGTCAAAAGGCTAAAAGGCTCTCTTAAGCCATAAACACCCCAAAGATCATGCATGATTCTACGCAGACGCTACAGACATCAAGTACACTGTTGCAAGATGAAAAAAATCTACGTGCTTTGAGTGGTCTATGGCAGGAACAATTTCACAGTGACACGAGATCTCACAGAAACTTAAAAAATTTATTTAAAAACACACAAAATACACAAACACATCATCCCTGGATAACTTTTGATTCACTATACATTTGTGTTGTTTACATTATATGCGCCAATTGCCAACAAAACACAGACATTTGATGCAGTTTTACTTAGCACCAGTGGATCTTTTACCGCTGGTACTATATGGTTATTTTAATGATACATGTCAAGAGCGCATCAATGCAATGTGCGAGCAGAAATGTCTCAGTTTGCAAACAGATTCCTTTCACTTTGGCCGCTTTCACTCATTCATTACATGCGTGCGCTCAAACTAACACCAGACTTCCACAACTGACTGACGAAATAATAAAGAGCACCTTTAAATTTAAAGGAAATTACAGATCCATCTTTGTTTCATATTAGTGCCTATGTATAAAACGAATTGGGCAACTTGTAAAATACATTTAATTTAGCAAATATCGTACAAATTCATATGAGTGAGTCTGTACAAATTCATACGAATTAGCCACCTTGTAAAAAATGTATGAATTGCTTATGAAATGTAAAATCACAAATCAGACAATTTGGTCTGACTTCATATTTGATGTTTTAATTGCACTTTTTGCACAATTTGCACAATTTTGATCTATTTTGATGCTCTATGGAGACATTTGTCAGATTACTAGTGTCTTTTTCTGTATATAAAAGACTGGAATCCCCATTTGATCTCTGTTTAATTGTCTAGATTTTGGAGAATCATTTGAGATAATAAAGAATGATTTTTCCTTCCTCTGGAGAGAAACTGAATCATGATGTTGTTCTGCAGATTGGCGCAGATATCTGTGGGTTCTTCGATGACTCGCCGGAGGAGCTTTGCAGACGTTGGATGCAAGTCGGCGCGTTCTACCCCTTCAGCCGTAACCACAACGCACAAGGGTACAAGGTCTGTGCTTGTGCTATTCCTTAAACACCCATAACCATTCAGTCTCGATGCGTATGAAGTGTCTTCCTGGGCTATCTGTTACAAACGTGTCCTCTCTCTATGATTGCTATTTGTAGAAGGGTTATTTCTCTAATCATTATTGCGAGACTGGCGTTAGAGGAGCAATCAGACCTCTGGAGTGAGAGTTTGAGAAGGCAAATGAGGATGAATGGAAAATTATATTATTGGTGAAATTAGATGAGTACGATTTGACCTTTTAGTCAGAGAGCAATCATTCCATGGCTGTCTCCACCATGATGAACATATTATCAGTATCTCTTCCTGACTAGTTTTATGTGCCTTTCTAACAGGACCAGGACCCTGCAGCATATGGCGCCGACTCTCTCTTGGTGAAAACCTCCAAGCATTACCTGAACATCCGATACACCCTCTTACCGTACCTCTACACTCTCTTCTACAAGGCCCACGTCAACGGAGAGACTGTATTGCGTCCCATGATGCACGAGTGAGTTCGTGAATATGTGCAAACAGCAGTGTAACAGTTTCAGCCTCAACTGCTTTATAAGAATAGTTTCCCGCTCTGCAGGTTCTATTCCGACAGTAAAACCTGGGGAGTGCACAACCAGTTCTTGTGGGGAGCACATCTTCTCATCACACCTGTGTTGGATCCTGTGAGTGAACACACACACACACACACACACAATATTTTATAGGCACATATGGTTTTTACACTGAACAAACCGTATATATTCTATCCCCCTACACCAACCCTACCACTAAACCTACCCATCACAGAAAACTTTCTGCATTTTTACATTTAAAAAAATATATAACTTTTTATGATTTATAAGCTCATTTCTTTATGGGGACCAACAAAAATAATCCCCATAATTTAGAGAATACCAGCACAGACACACAAAAATTAGCTGATTATCTTTCTGTTGGCTTCTTACTCTCCAATATCTCGCTCATATTCTCTCTTTCTGACTCTTGAAAAGCCATGACAGGAGGACCATATCTTTCTGAAAAATGACCACCCATGATGGTCTACTTGTTAGTTTACTGAATAATGCTCATTACTAAACTATCAAAATAACGTTTACCATTAAGTTTAGCTCATTTTCCTGTTTGTTTGTTTGTTTCAGGGTGTTGAAAATGTGGAGGCCTACATTCCAGATGCCATCTGGTATGACTTTGAGAAGGTAAGACCTTCCACTCGAACCACAGTAAATAATGGCAGAATGTTACATGATTGTGTAGCCTAGTGAACCAAACTGAGAGACCATTTTGAAGGCTCAGGAAACCTTTGCAGGTGTTTTGAGTTGATTAGCTGATTGGCATGTCACCATATTCTAATTTGTTGAGATAGTGAATTGGTGGTTTAAACTACTTCAGTCTGCGTGCATTGAATTTATTTAAGACACGAGTTTCACAATTTGAGTTGAATTACTGAAATGAACTTTTCCACGACATTCTAATTTATTGAGATGCACCTGTATATATATATATATGGGTGACTGACGTGACACTTATTTTTTGTTTGTCCATATTGTTTAATATTGCTTAAAAGTGTTAAAATTCCAAAATTAATTTGCAAATTACTTTTTTTCAAGTCTAAAATGTCTAGTTTGAATTCAGTTTGAGAGAATATTTGGGGGACAGTTGCAAAAATGTCAATGTTGTGTAACCGTAAAAACTTCATACCAAATAATTGATCTTATTTAAAAAAGGTGAAATTCTCAATCAATAAATTCTCAATAATAATTCTTAGTAAATAAAAGTAAACGGAACACCATTGTTCTGGATATTAAACTTAATTTGGGGGATCATGTCGAGTCAAATTCCTGAAGTGTCAAGGTGGTGTAAACACCATTCAAGCAGCCATTTTGTTAATATTAATGAGTATTCGCTTTACAAATTACATTTGAAATATTCCCACCAAGGCCATGTGCTTACATAGGTGTCCATGATAATGCCTGTCAAATTTGATTTTAAATTGAAATGTCAAATGGTGTAAATGGTAACGCCTTTCTGTTAGGGGCCACTTTAGTCAAATATCCATAGTTTATGATGCTGATTAACCATATAAACTAACCTAAATTTAAACTAAACTACTATTTGGAACTATTTTTATGTGTTTTTTAATTGAGAATTTCATCTTTTTCACCACAAGATCAGTTGTTTGGTGTGCAGATTTTACGGTTACACCACATTTTTGCAATCATACCCCAAATATTCTCTCAAAATTAATTAAAACCAGAAATTTTAGACTTGGCCTTCAAACAAGAGAATGTATGCAAGTAATTTACTTTTTACTTTAAAATGTTAACCCTTTTTAATTTAATCAAAACAAATGGACACAAAAAATGAATGTCAATAACGTCAAGTCGTCATTGACCCATATATACTGTAAGGGTCAAAGACGAAAAAGGGTTTTCAATCATCAAAACAATTAGTGTAATACAGCTTTAAACTGTTCTTGTTGTTTTTCAAGACATTAGAATGTCTCCTGTTTAACTAAATTTTTTGACATTTTTACCCTGATTTACAGAAGACACCCACTAAAATGTAAATATGCCTGACAAGATTGTTCCACTGAATGACAACAAAAATCTATTTATGACATATTAAAAGACTAATTAATTTGACCCCAAATAGTAATTACTTGTAATTTCACATTTTTAAACTTAAAAATTATCCTAGGTTTTGCCCATTTGACAGCAAGACTTTAATAATTTAAAATACAATACATTTTAGTATGCTCACTTATTCTTTATATATTTTAATGTCAAAATAAGTATGTTGTTTCAATTGTTTCATAAATATTACACTGAATGACAATGAAACATTATTTCACCCACATTTTGACATTTTATTCTCCCGAAACTTATTTGAAACCTTAAAAGTAGACGCTTTACTTGCATTTAATATGCTTTGTGTATATGAATTCACTTTTGTAAATTTCTCTTGATGCGGACATATATATATATATATATATATATATATATATATATATATATATATATATATATATATATATATATATGACAATGCAATTTTTGTTTTGTTTTACAGGAGGAACGGATTACCGATCGCAAAGAAAAAGTTAACTTGAACCTGCCTGCTGATAAACTTGGTTTACACCTGAGAGGCGGAGCCATTCTGCCCGCACAAAGGCCAGACGTCACCACTACATACAGGTAATGATGGAAAACTAAAAAAACTCCCCTAAAACACATATCAACTTTAAAGCTTAAAAAGGGGCCACAAACAAGAATCCCAACTTCAAAGGATCCGTTTTGTGTCTGCTCTTGAGTTTCTGTACGTTTGTGTTCCCTCAGCCGATGTCATCCCATGAGACTGATCATCGCTCTCGATGACAGCAATGCTGCATCAGGAGAGCTATTTTGGGATGACGGAGAGTCCCGAGGTATTTTGGAGGAACTTGCTATTAATTAATTTGTTCACTTCACCATCAGAAACAAAAATGTACCTTATACAGGACTCAATAGCAAGAATGCCAGAATGTCAGATGTTCTACTACTGTTTGACTTTTGTCAGAACTAAATGTGGTAACATTTTACATTGAGGTTCCATTAGGTAACAATAGTTATTGTTTTGACTGATTTGAACTAACAATGAGCAATACATTTCTTATAGTATTTTTCATCTTTAGTAATGTTAACTTTTCATTGCTAACAACATTCTAATTTACAGCATGTTAAAACGTGCTAGCATCGCACTAATTCATTCTAGAAACATGCTAGCAACATGCTAATTCATGGTAATCATGCTAGCAATGTCAAAAACAAGCTAGCAACCTTAATTCATGCTAACTCATGCTAGCAACATGCTTAATCATCCTAGCAGGATCTTAAATCATGCTAACATGTTAATTCATACTAAATCATGCTAACAATGTGTCAAATCATGCTAACAAGATGTTAATTCATGTTAGCGACATGCTAAAACATACTAACAATATATCATGCTAACATTGTGCTAAAACATGTTAAGAATGTGATAAATCATGCAAGAAACATGTGCTCCCTCACTGTCGCAAACTTCAATTTCAACATTTCAGTTCAACCTTTAAGCTTCTCAAACTTGTTTCAAACTTGTTTCAAACGTTCAGACAAGGCTTTTTCAAGCCAACTTCAAGCTTTGTTTACGAACTTTACTAGAAATGCCCCAAATGCATTTATATTTTATTTTTGCAAGAACAGCTATAATTTAACCCCATGACAGATATAAATATATACAATAAACTCACATTTTGTGTTTTTTCTTCAACAAAACATCACCTATGTTAACAAGGTTGATAACTTTACCTTGGTGAGGTTTCCTTTAAAATGAGCAGAATTTGCAACAATAAAAGGTTCAATACACTAACAGTGCAAATAAAAATGTGCATTTACAAGGTATACAAACACATGAACATGGGCAACGAATGTAAGATGTCGTACACTGGCCTGAAATCATCCTTACTTTTGAGCCATATTGTAGAGACTAAATTATTAGATTTACCCAAACGTTTCTGGACAACAACAAAACTAATAACACTTGTTTGACTCACACATAAAGTTGATTTTTCTCTCATAACTTCTTTTTCTCGTTTTCTTAGATACTCTTTCATCCGGCTCCTACATTCATTACCAGTTTTCCGTGGCTAATGTACGTCATCCTAATGTCACATTTCTGTTTGTTTGTTTTCAGATGGCTTTACATTGTATGTCCAAAAAGCAACATTTGAATAATTTTTAACACCAGCTATTACAAAAATCTGTAGTAATATCTGATCTTTTTCTGCTGGATCAGGATGTCTTGACAATGCATGTCACCCACAATGGCTACACAGATCCAAACAACTTGAAGTTTGAGAACATCACTGTAATGGGAGTGACCGGAGCTCCAGTCTCTGTGCTCGTGTCAGACGGCACCACTACTAATGCTCTGACCGAGTCCCAGGTTAACTACGATTCTACCCGGAAGGTAAAAGAGTGTTCTATAGTCAATGTGAAACTCTGTTTGTGACCAATTTTACAGATTTTGTTTGGAATAGGATATTTATCACCCTACAGAAATCGGTATAATGCACATTAAAGGGATAGTTCACCCCAAAATGAAAATTATCCCATGAATATATGACGTATGCGACGTATGACATGAAGAGGCAAACACTTACGCTACGTCATACGTCGCGTCAGTCGTGCTTTTGCCGCAAGTTTACCGATCATCGGAAGCTAATTACAGTTAATAAAGTTGTAAAAATTGATATTTTATTACAAAAACCCATCGATTCAATTCAGTAGGCCTTTATTAACCTCCCGGAGCCACGTGGATTGATTTTATAATGGATGGATGGACTTTTTTTTTACTTCAAACTCATGGCAGCCATTCACTACCATTATGAAGCTTGGAAGAGCCAGGATTTTTTAAATGTAACTCCGATTGTGTTCATCTTAAAGAAGAAAGTCATATACAGATTCCTTGAGGGTGAGCAAATCATGGGATAATTTTCATTTTTGGGTGAACTATCCCTTTAAGAGCTGGAATATAAAGTAAATAGGGCACCAGGAGAGGCTCTGTCATTCCAAGTTAGTGGATTTGTCAGGGCTTTCAAAGCACACATATATTAGGCTGTGATAAAGGGCATATTCTGATCTTAAACTACATGTGACACATTAAAGGGATAGTTCACCCAAAAGTGAAAATGTGCTTTTAATTGACCTCTCAGGTCATCCAAAGATGTAGGTAATTTCTTTCTTCAGTAGAGCAGTAAAAAAGATTTTTGGCTGAAAACGTGGTCCTCTGGTATCCATATAATGGAGGTCTATGGGTGCCGTCACTTTGAGATTCAAAAAAACATATGCAGGCAAAACATAATTAATACCCATGGCTCCTGACGATGCATTCAGGTCTTACACGCTCAGGGCCATTTGCCCAGGCTGTGGATTACAGGTAATACTGTTGTAAATAATGTTCAGTTTATTGCACAGACCGATCGTTTCGCTTCATAAGACCTCAATGCATCGTCAGGAGCCACGGGTATTAATTATGTTTTGCCTGCATATGTTTTTTTTTATCGCAAAGTGACGGCACCCACTGACTTCCATTATATGGATACCATAAAAATCTTCTTTACTGCTCTACTGAAGAAAAAAAAGTACATTTTAAGAATTTTCATTTTTTTTTAAATTGAGTAAATTAAGAGCAAATTTTCATTTTTGAGCGAACTATACCTTTAATGTCAACTGCTGTAATTTTTAGGATGTACTAATGCAAAGACTTAATGAAACGCAACAATATTTGACATTTTTGTTATTCACATCTTTAAACTAGAGGATAGGATTCCGACTTGAATACACATGCTGTCTTTTGCGTGATCTACCTGTATATCATTGGGTGTTTGTGGTCTCCTAGGTGTTGTACCTGAGAAACCTGGAGCTGGAACTGGGGAAGAACTACACAGTCAACTGGCAGGACAAATACAGAAACTCTAGGCACTTCGATTGTCATCCTGAAGCAGGTTCCGATCAGGCCAAATGTGAAGCCCGTGGCTGCATCTGGGAGGTCAGAGAGAGAAGATATTCCATATCTGATCCATGCATACGCAAAGACTAGTATTTCCTGTTACTGTTATAATATGATTTAAAACATCTGTTCAAAGTGTTTTTATTGTCTTTAATAGCCTTCAAATGTTCCCAACGAGCCCTGGTGTTATTACCCTGACACCCACGGCTACATCACCAGCAACGTGGTTGAAACGGCGAGTGGCATCACTGTAGATTTAGAGCGCAATACGGCTTTCCCAAGTCAACGTTCTCAATCTCGAGACATCAGCAAGCTCCGTGTGGAAATCACATACCTGAGTGGCAAAAGCTTGCGTTGGAAGGTATGATTTTCGAAATTTAGGATTACGACCAAGACAATGACTAAATATACAGTTTAAATAAATCAAAGTGTTTATTCAAAGCGACTTACATTGCATTTAAGGTATACTTTGTTAATCCATAACCTTGGTGTCAATAGCGGCATCCTGTTTTTAAGAATTAGGACTTAAAGGGATAGTTCACCGAAAAATGAAAATTACCCCATGATTTAATCACCTTCAAGCCATCCAGAGTGTAAATGACTTTCTTCTTTCAGACGAAGAAGAAGAGTTATAATATAATTTATCCTGGCTCTTCCAAGCTTTATAATGGCAGTGAATGGCGGTTGAGATTTTGAAGATCAAAAAAGTGCATCCATCCATCATAAAACTGCTCCACAAGGCTCCAGGGGGTTACTAAAGGTCTTTTGCAAGCCAAAATAGCCATATTTAAAACTATAAACAAAACTTCCAGTTTCCAGTGATTTACGAAGAATGAATTACGCATTCTTCGTAAGTTGTGGTCCGCTGGAAGCTGGATGTTCTGCTTTATAAAGTTTTAAAAATGGATAACTTTCTTACACAAACCCATCAATTTGCTTCAGAAGGCCTTTAGTAAACCCCCGGAGCCGTGTGGAGTCGTTTTATGATCCATGGATGGACTTTTTTGAGCTTCAAACCCCCCCCCCCCCCCCGTTCACTGCCATTATAAATATTGGATGATAAAATAAAAAAAAAACTCTGATTGTGTTCATCTGAAAGAAGAAAGTCATATACACCTAGGATGGCTTGAGGGTGAGTAAATCATGAGGTTATTTTCATTTTTGGGTGAACTATCCCTTTAAAGCAGTGGTTATCAAACCTGTCCTGGAGTACCCCCAGCCCTGCACATTTTGTATGTCTCCCTATATCTGACACACCCACATCAGGTCTTGCAGTCTCCACTAATGAGCTGATGAGTTGAATCAAGTGTGATGAGGGAGACATACAAAATGTGCAGTGCTGGGGGTACTTTATGGAGAGGTTTGAGAACCACTGCTTTAAAGAAATGAATTAAAACATTTAAGACTGAGATTAAGATTGATTTTGGTCTTCATATAGATCTTTGACCCAAGCAATGCACGCTACGAGGTCCCCGTTCCCCTCGATCTGCCCGCCATGCCAGAGACAGAGGAAAACAACAGACTGTACAGGGTTCAGATCAATAACAAGCCTTTCGGGATCCAAGTCATCAGAAAGGACACACAAGAAATCATGTGAGTAATACAGCTGAATACAGCTGTACAGAGAGGTTCTTTTGTAGTAGTTTGACTGTAGTTTCTACTGTTTTAGGACTATAAAAGCACGGTTTGTCTTCTTCATGAAAGGAACTCAGAATTATTCTCAGTGTTTCGTTAAATCTTATTCTGTTCTCTAGATGGGACTCTGCCGTGCCAGGGCTCACATTCTCCGATCAGCTCCTTGAGATCTCCACGCTCCTGCCCTCAAACTACGTCTATGGTTTTGGTGAAACAGAGCACCCCATCTACAAACATGACCTCAACTATCACAAATACGGCCTGTTTACCAAAGACCAGCCTCCAGGGGTGAGTGGCACAACCACTAGTGATGTTTTATAAGCCTTACTGTGTGATATGCCATCTGCCCTTTACAATATCTGGACAACTGAAATTGCATCACAAACTCAAACTCTAATCCGTTTCTCCCCATCTGTAGTATAAGCTGAACAGTTATGGAGTCCATCCCTTCTACATGGGTCTGGAGAAATCAAAATATGCTCACGGCGTCCTCCTGCTCAACAGCAATGCCATGGGTGAGCAAACCACACACTCACTCACCCAACTGGTGCTAAATGGTCTTATTTGGAGACTAAGACCAACCTAAAACCAGCCTTAGATGGCTTGCTGGTTTCAACTGGTCTAGTTGGCAGCTTGTTCATGAACAAAAACAAAGAAGACACTTTCAAAATGATCATCATCATATGGTTCTGTTCTGGGCAAGAACTCCCTGCGCATCCATGCAGCCTAGCGTGGATGAGAGCAGGGAGAGCAGCAATAACCCCTCAGGGTAAACAGAACAGAACAACATAAAAGTATTGCAGATATCATTAAGGTTCAATAATTTAATGTACATTAAAAAATTAGTCTGATTCAAAGGAGAATCAGAAGGCTGAATCCCGACTGACAGAGGAGGAGTTGGGGATGGAGGTGGGTAATTAGCTATTGAGCAATGCAAAAGCTGGTGATAATACTGAAGGACCTTGTACATGAGCACTGTGATAGGTGTCGCATCCCTATAGGTAGATGTGGATCAGCTGAAAGTCAGCTAATGCAAGCTTGACTAAAGTGACCTGCCAGAACTGATGCTACACTATGATTTCTGTCAGGACCACTATCGTCAATGATGACTGACAATTAGCATACAGTTTGGATTGGAGGTATGGTTCTGTTATGGGCAAGAACTCCCTGCGCATCCATGCAGCAATAATCCCCCGAAACAAAACCATATGCCACATCCCCAGACACAAAATGACAGTGAAAATTTTCAAGCCTTAAACAACAAGCATGTAACCCTTACCCGTTGAATGTAACAAGAATGTTGCCAAAGCATGCATAAGCCATAGCCACAAGCATGTTGCCCTAAACCAGATGACCTAACGAGTATGTTGCCAAGCCTGAAAAGCTTAATCAGCAACATGTTCTCAATAACAACCAGATAGCCTTAGAACAAGCGTGCTCCCAATAACAACCAGATAGCCTTAGAACAAGCGTGCTCCCAATAACAACCAGACAGCGTTAGAACAAGCGTGCTCCCAATAACAACCAGATAGCCTTAGAACAAGCGTGCTCCCAATAACAACCAGATAGCCTTAGAACAAGCAAGCTCCCAATAACAACCAGATAGCTTAGGAACAAGAGTGCTACCAATAATAACCAGATAGCTTAGGAACAAGCTGCTCCCAATAACAACCAGATAGCCTTAGAACAAGCGTGTTATCAATAACAACCAGATAGCTCAGGAACAAGAGTGCTACCAATAACA